GTTGGGTGTGGTGGCGCAGTGGGTAGGGTGTGGTAGCTCAGTGGGTGGAGTGTGGTAGCTCAGTGGGTGGAGTGTGGCAGCTCAGTGGGTAGGGCGTGGCAGCTCAGTGGGTAGGGTGTTTGCATGGACAAAGCTTGAGTGTATAAGCTGCATATATGGTGGCACCATCTATTACCCCAGGACACAGGAGTCTGAGGAAGGAGGATCAGGAGTTCAAAACTAGCCTTGAATTTGAGGCCAGAGTAGGTTGCAGGAGACCTTGACCTTCCTCCCAAAAAAAGGGAAAAGAATAAAAAAAAAGGCGGGAAGTGGTGGCACACCTTTAACACCAGCACTTGGGAGGCAGTGGCCTGTGGATCTCTGAGTTTGAGGCCAGTCAGAGCTACAGAGAAAAAAAAGAAAGAAAAAAAAAACTCTTAAAAAGTGTTGTTTCTGCTTCCTCAAGAAAAGGCCAGCTGACCTCCAGCGAATGACAACATTACTTGGTGCCTCTGGGGAAATGCAAACGTTTGTCCTGATAAAGTCATCACCTGTGTTTGCTATTAAACTTCTTAATTTTATCTAAATGGCAAAGTTCAGCCATGACATTGCTTTGATACGATGATAAATTTACTGTTTGGAGACAGAAACTCAAGCAACTGGGGTGACCTCCTTTGGTTGATGTTGAGACAGGATCTCTCCGTGTAGAGCAGGCTGGTCGAAAGCTAAGGGATTCTCCAGTGAGGATTGAAGGTGGTCGCACCACACCCCGATTATGTTGGGGTTGGAACCCAGAGTTTCACGCATGCTAGGCAAGCGACCTACGCATCGAGCTACCACCATCTCAGCTGCTGCCATGTTTTATGAAGTCAGTTTTGCTGTGAAGGTGAGGCTGTCCCCAAACCCTGACGTTTCAGCTCTACAAGTAGGAGGTGACAGGAGGGGGGGGGGTCACACCCAACTCACAATCAGTTGTGCATTTTCAGTCAAACACAGACTGATCAGGCAGCCAACAGGCTCAAGTTCCCTCCCAGTCTGGTGCGGCTTGTTGACATTGCTAAAAACGGAGGCCCCTTGTCGTAACACAGCTTTAAACAGCAATTA